CATTGTATTCTATATTGTAATAAAACCCCTAAATGGTCTAATTAGATAAGAAAGAGAAGAAAAGGCACAACAATTGGAAAGAAAGTGGTTGTTATGGACTTAGTTGTGCCTTCTCTAATTAATACACTGAACTGAAGTCCTAAAGTCTAGGACACCTGAGAATGTGACTGTATTTGGAGACAGGATCTTTTAAGAGGTAATTAGTTGAATGAGGTCCTAGGGGTGGGCCTAACTGAGAGTCACTGATGTCCTTGTAAGAGGAAGCATTCCCGGGGATGCATGCACAGAAAAGGCATGTGAGGACACAGTGAGAAGGCAGTCATCAGCAGCCAAGAAGAAAGGCCTCAGGGGGATTGACTAGAAAGGAGCATGAGGATTTACTGAAAATGGAAATGTGCTATATCTTAATTGGGGTAGTGGTTACACGGGTATATATAATTTTCAAAATTTATCAAACTATACATTTAAGACCTCTGCAATTTAGTGTATATATATTACACCTCATTGGCTGGATGTGGTGGCTCACGCCTGTAATCCAAGCACTTTGGAGGCCAAGGTGGGTGGATCACCTGAGGTCGGGAGTTCAAGACCAGCCTGACCAACATGGTGAAACCCCATCCTTAAAATAAAAAATTAATAAATAAATAAATTAAACCTCATTAAAATAAAAGACAATAGAACCTTCCCCCACCATATTTTCTTAACTCCTAAGGCAGTGCTTTTCTTTTCTTTCTTTTTTTTTTTTTTAGACAGAGTCTTGCTCAATGTCATCCAGGAGGGAGTGCAGTGGAGTGATTTTGGCTCACTGAAACCTCTGCCTCCCAAGCTCAAGCAATTTTTCTGCCTCATCTCTCTGAGTAGCTGGGACTACAGGTGTGCACCACCACACCCGGCTAATTTTTTTCTATTTTTAGTAGAGACGAGATTTTACTATGTTGGCTGGGCTGGTCTCAAATTCCTGACCTCAGGTGATCCACCTGCCTCAGCCTCCCAAAGTGCTGGGATTACAGGAGTGAGCTACCACACCTGGCCAATTGTTCATTTCTTTAAGCATGGCTTGTACTTTAACCCACATGGGGCTGTGAAGAGCATTCATATCATTTTAAGGACAGGCTCACTTAGAACAACTAGGAGCTTCTGAGATCATTCTTTACTTCAGCTGAGTCTACAACAATCATCTTCCAGTAGAAGAAAAAAAATGTGTTTGGGAGTTACTAGGGGACCTTAACCAGTGGCAGCTACTATATAAAATCATATAACCTAAGAAAACCCAAAAGACAAAATGAAGGGCACAATCAATACCATCAAGTAAACCCAAATTGCTCTAGGTTCAGACTCTGCCAACATTTTAAGGGAATGTAGAGATTCAAGAAAGAGGAACAAAAAGGAGGAAGGGAGTGGCCAAAGTCAGGTTTCACAGCCTGACTTAGGAATGAGCAATGCCAAGCTCAGAGGTTTAACATTTCAGTTCTGGAAAACGTGTGCTCAGTGGCTTCAGTGCCTCTGCTAGCCCATCAACATAACAAGAAAAAAAAAATGCCCTCAGCTTTGAAGGCTCTGACAAAAGGGAATATCGATGATTCCTCAGGAAAGGGAGATTCCAGGCAAGCTGGTCAAAATGTTTTGAGGCTGCAAAGGATGAAAAAAGAAGAATAAAGATTGGATGTTTCCAGATTTATGACTTTCAAAAGTTCTTTACTCAAGTTTAGATTTTCCCAAGTATTATCTCCCCTGTTCCAAATAGCTCAATAAAAGCAACTAAAATTGATGAATGAACAAGTTTATATATCTTCAGCATAATTTTGATAATACTATACATATTTTTGCTATTGTAAGGTTGTTTCTTGAGACAACAGTCTGGTCTTCTTCTTTTTTTTTTTTTTTTTTTTAACGTGTTTAGCATCAATAAAGCTGGCAGAATGGTGAGGAGGATAGGAGAGGTAAGGGAGTAAGAGACTGGTAATAAAGATTAATGGTCCTGTAGTAAATGTCCTATGTAGTACTTAATGAGTAAAGGACAACAACAAAAGAAACAAAAGATATAAGTCAGAAGAAAAGTGTATTAAAAAATTCAAACGCACTAAAGAGGGAAAAGCAATTAAGAAGGTGCTAAACCAAGCAGTGTTACTTAGGTCATTGGTGCCAGGTCATCAGCCGTATGATAAACAGGGATTCCAAGTCTACCGCAGCATCCACGGAAAGTTCTATCTCCCATGTGGTTGGGGGCCACCAAATGCCAATGCAATCACTCCGCCCTGTACTGTAATCTGCATACTCTAGCTGTGCAATGGGCAGAATGGCTCAAACGGGCAACTTTTGCCAATTTAATGGTCATGTAGACCATAATTTTGCTAACAGTTCCATATTAGAATAAAAGAGAGAACAGAAAGTCAGTAGTTCCTGTGAATGCTTTAAAATAAAAACTCTTAAAAAGATGAAAAAGTTTCTATTCTTGTTTTTTTTTAGAGCAACACTACAACCTTTCCCCAACCCCACAATAAAAGAAGGGGGAAAAAAAAACCTAATGGAAAGAAAATAAAACCACAAGTGAAAACTGTTCCTGAAAACTTTGCAGAATTGTTAACAGCTTTCTCTTGGTTAAATTGATTGGTATAGCAACATTATAAAATGACTATTAGGATTCATTGTGCACAACAGAAAGTGCTGAAATGTCAGCAGACTATACAGCAAAAAGTAATGGGTTCTGAACCCCGGTTAGTCAAAAATGATTTTGTTTCAAATTAGAAATTGATTTTTTTTGGACACAAGCCCTTTTCAGGCTTCTGACTTCTGTAGCTAGGCCCAGGACAGATTAACCTTCACCACAGCAAGGGCTGGCCTGATGATATCTTTCTCAAAGTGCCTTTTCAATTGCTGCTTTCTACTGTGGCTGGGGTATTAACCAATAACACAAGTTATTTGTTCTTTTGCTATTACACTATATTTTTCTCATTTTGCCATTTTATCTTAGTGCTGCCACACAACACAAATTTGTAGACAAGTTAACTGAAGACTATGTTAAACCTTGCAGTGTAACCACCACACCAATTGTGACTAATTCTTCACTCTCCAAAGTACAATGACTAAGAACAGAGGAAGCTGAGGTAAGAGTTTTCCATTTCTGAAGGACTGCTAACAGAGAAAGTAAAGATTCTATCTCAAAAAGTTTCTTCCATTTAATTTTTAGTTTGGGAAGCAATGTCCAGAAAGCAGCTTCTAAGTTGTTCTAAAGCAGTGGAAGTCTACAAAACCTTTCTTTGTCTTATGTCAAACAAAATGTACTTTTGCTTTTCTCAAATAGCGGATAGTCCTCCCCCAAAATTCGAACTAATTATCATCTCTCAATTATCTGGGAGAGGATTAAACAATTTCTAGATTAATCATAAACTAAACCAAAAAGCATGACAGAGATAGTAGCAGATGAAAAAAGGCAGGGAGATGTACACCTGCAAGATCTCACAAAGAACTGCCCAATTTTCAAATAAATAAATGTGAGAGCGGCTATAGAGATTATGAAAAGTAGGTTGCATGACACCAGAGGTAGAGAGGTGCAGCCCCCATAGAAAAAGAGGTAAGTAAGAAGGAAATCAGGGTTAACGGTTGTGGGAAGGGAAAAAAGACACCTAGGAAAGAGGTGTGAGCAGGACAGGGCTCAGAGGTCTTTTTGGCCCTTTGTTTCCTGTACATCTTTTCTGTATAATGAAGCTCAGACTTGCTCCATTCTTTTCCAAAGTCATTCCTTTAAGGATGCCAGGATAGATTAAGCCAAAAGCCTCTCCAGGAACAACTGGGAAACAAATTTGCTCCACCCAACATTTAATATAGTTATTTATAATTGATTTATTCTTCTTTTTTTTTTCCTTTTTGAGACGGAGTTTCGCTCTTGTTACCCAGGCTGGAGTGCAATGGCGCGATCTTGGCTCACAGCAACCTCCGCCTCCCGGGTTCAGGCAATTCTCCTGCCTCAGCCTCCTGAGTAGCTGGGATTACAGGCACGCGCCACCATGCCCAGCTGATTTTTTGTATTTTTAGTAGAGACGGGGTTTCACCATGTCGACCAGGATGGTCTCGATTTCTTGACCTCGTGATCCGCCGGCCTCGGCCTCCCAAAGTGCTGGGATTACAGGCGTGAGCCACCGCGCCCAGCCCTGTAATTGATTTCTTTAAGAATCTACCAGGCCGGGCGTGGTGGCTCATGCCTGTAATCCCAGCACTTTGGGAGGCCGAGGCGGGCGGATCCTGCGGTCAAGAGACCGAGACCATCCTGGCCAACATGGCGAATCCCTGTCTCTACTAAAAAATACAAAAATTAGCTGGGTGTGGTGGCATGTGCCTATAGTCCCAGCTACTCGGGAGGCTGAGGCAGGAGAATTGCTTAAACCTTTGAACCTGGGAGGCAGAGGTTGCAGTGAGCCGAGATCACGCCACTGCACTCCAGCCTGGTGCCTGGTGACAGAGCGAGACTGTCTGAAAAAAAAAATAAAAAAAAGAAACTACCACATAATAGGAAATATTATTGACATTTAAAAGATTGCTAGGCAATATATGCTTTAGACTTGTGAGGTTTGTTTTAGTCACAATATGGGGAGTTGTCCATGATCTCCCCTCCGCCCTCCCCATGTTTCCAGTCAATTGAGGATTAACTGTAATTGTGAGAGTTTATTTTTCCAGGAGAGATTTATGTTCAATATCTTGCCCTCTTTACTCACTTGGAACATTATTTTAGAATATGAACATACTTACTGCTGACTAATTCTTAACAGTTGTTGCTTGCAAAAAAAGAGACAATTTAGATACAGTTTTTCATACCAGTATTCTAAGAAAAATGCAGACACAATTCACTAATCCAGTAGATGTGTTACCTGTGGCCTTGCAGGCACATTTCAGTGTGTAACATTTAACTTTTGCTTGACATTGTAGGAAATCATCTGAAATTCATTGGCTAGCAACTACCTTCCTGTGCCAGCCTCTCATTTTGCTACTATAGTTGTTAAACTTACCTCTTTGGGGTCTGTATGTATCTTTCTTTTGACATGACCACTGGGCATCATCTTTCATATGTGAATGAAACCCAACTGTCTTCTTCTCCTTCCTATTCTCTCCACTGTTTGGGGAGTCTTGGTACTTTTTAACAGATGATGACGTTCCAAGCAGCCAGCCATCGTAGTCTGACTTTAATAAACTGAAAGAACAACGATGAATGAACTGTTGAAGGCATAGAAGTGGACATAGATCATACAGATATTTAAATTCAGCATGGGCCGAAATGCAATTCATTAAGAGCTTTCTTTATCTTACTTTTTACTTAGGTATAATTTAAATAATTTACTCAACCTCTATTTTGTGTCCTGTCACAAAAATTTTGGAAAAGAAATGGTCTTTATTCTCAAAAGCTTATCCTGGGAGTTGGGGAAATGAGACTCAAACTGATGAAACAGCTGATAAAGCCACAGAGTATGACTAAGAACCAGATTATCTATAGAAATAAAAAGTATGCTAAAACAAGACTTGCATATCTAAGATGTTTTCCAAGTACTAAAAATGAACACTAGAGATTAAAATATCACCAACGTGCCTCGAAAGGCATTTGTATTTCTAATTTTCAATTGTTATTGGTATTTATTATGTACCCAGAGCACGTAAGGAGTAATATAATAGTGCATGTGGAAGAACTAGACTCCATACTTACATAAGTTCATTAAAAGGTCAATAAGACAAATGCAGAATAAAAGGCATTTTAATGAAAATGAACACATATACATATTTTCTTCTTTAATAAACTGTGTTCCCACCATTAGCACATTTCTTCTTATAAGATTTTCTTATTTTAGGGAGACATGTTCTAAAGATGTGTTATCTCTCACTATTCTACTATTCCCTCTAATTTAAGTTCACAACAAACTCATCACACTTGGGTTTTGTCTTCCCCATACCCATAAACAATGTGAAAATTAAAGAAAAAGACTTGGAAATACACAGAGGCAGCTACTCAAAAAACAAGATTCTAAAATTAAAATGTTTAAACTCCCCAGAAGCAGATGGAATCTCTAGACAAGAATAAGCTGAATGGAGTGTTGCTAGGTCTATCACTTATTCCAGGTGGCCTTTGACCAGGATTCAAATTTCATATTCTTTTTTTTTTCCCTTTCTAAATGCTTTTAATGTTCTTCAGATGGTGAGACGTTGTTGCTATGGTCAGAGGCTGTGCTGGTGGCCAGGGGCACCCCATGCCTGCCTCCCACACCCCTTCCTCCAGGAGATACTTGGAAGGGGCCATGCCCTTGTGAAGCCCCTTCTCCTGTGGAAGAATGTCATCTCCAGTGTCTGCCGCCTCCTCCCTGCAAAGTCTCCCAAAGGCACAGGAGAAGGGGCGCTTCCAGCATCTCCTAGGAGCTGATGATGTGCCCGGACCAGGTCTCATGCTTGGTGCCTGGTGCCAGGTGGGTAATGACAACCGCCACAGCCTGCAGCTTCTCATTCTTGGGCGGGATGGAGTACATCTTATAGGTGATCGCACCACCTTCACCTGAGACATATTCCCCTTCCATGTCAGAGACCTGCAGGAAGATGTTGGGGCCACCATCAGTGAGGGTAATGAAGCCAGGGCCCTTTGATCAGCAGAAACATTTGCAGACTCCTTTGTAGATGGGGCCCTGTGAAGCCTGCACTGTCGCTGAGAAGGCTGTCCTCTGGCAAGTGGGCAGTAGGCTTGGGACCACACTGCCCCACAGAGGGTATGGTGAGTGCTCGCTGGTCCAAGGGGTGTCCAGCAGCATGACTGAAGTGTGATGGGTGGGGGGCTGTGGTGGTGGGGGAGGCTCAGATGACATGGCTGACCTCAAGATCTATTCTGCTCCACCAGCCGCTTCACTCTAAATTACATATTCTTATATAAATGTCTCTGGTTTATGTCAATCAGAATTTTTAGCAGTGTTTGTTCATATCATAATTTATTAATAAAAACCAAGAAAGTAAATGGCTTTATGTTCAGAATTATATAAAGAAAATAAAATTATTAGTTACACGGCTTTAGATGGTGGGCACAAGAAAATGTATAAAAGCGATACTCTCTCTTTTTTTTAACCAGAACACAGACCATTTTCCTGTGCAGACTGACCAGAAGATGTGTATCTTAGGTTATACAAATTGTACTCAATGAACAGGAAAATACGGAAAATAAAAGTATCTTATTATGTATGTTATATAAATTTACATCAACCCAGAAGCCCCAAACCCAGGCAAATCCAATGACTACATCTCTGGTTGTTCTTGTAGAGAAATTAATGTGACCCAAACCATTGGCTTCCCCCAAATTGATTCATTCTCAGCTCAGATGAACTCCCAATACTGACTGCCTTCTGCTTCTTTACAGCATTTTCACAGAGGCTTTTCTGTACCTTTATTCAAAATTCTATCTTGGTAATCCTCCATCTCAACTGGGAACTTGGCTTGTAATTTCCCTAAAATAAAGATGACTATATGAAAAATTTCTTCCTTCATTTGTATTTATTTCCATATTCACTCATCTACTATTCCTCTCTTAATGTCTTAATTTTTTTTTTTTTTTTTTACCTTTTATATGCACTCTTGATACCATCTTGACCCATCCCCTCTGTGACTATGGCCTGTCAATCATCTCTTTTTCTTATAACTTACAAACTTCTCCTCTAAATTGGATTGTTTCCTAGGGCTACAAAAAAGAGCAGATCCTCCATTAATACCCAGTGTCAGTGAGGGTATGGGGACAAGAGCAGTTTAATACCAACTGCAGGAACCACAAGTGGGTATCACCTTTTTGTGGGTGACTTGTCAACACAAAATGAAAATGTATCCCTCTTCCAACAGTTCTACTTTTATCCCACACTTGAGGCCAGGAATTTGAGATCAGACTGGGCAACACAGCAAGACCCCATCTCTAAAGAAAATTTTTTTTAACTACCTAGGCATGGTGGCATGTGCCCATAGTTCCAGCTACTTGGAAGCTGAGGCAGCAGGATAGCTTGAGCCCAGGAGTTTGAGTTTACAGTGAGCTATGTTCATGCCACTGCACTCCAGCCTGGGAGACAGAGTTAGACTCTGTCTCCAAAAAAAAAAAAAAAAAAAAAAAGAATTTCTCCCACAGAATTACATGAACAACAGCATGAGAATATTTGTTCAAAGATAATCACTGGAGAATTATTTGTAATAGTGAAAAACTGAAGGCAAATATCATTCAATAAGAGAATGAATAAATAAATAATGGTACATACTCATAAAGAACACTATTCAGCCATTAAAAAGAATGAGGTAATTATTCATACTGATGTGGAGAAACTTCATGACATGCTATTAAAATAAAATAAAAGCAATTTGCAATAATAGAATATATAATGTGATCTCATTTTTATAGAAACAAAAATATAGAAAAATGTTTTTAAAGTTCTGGTTGGATAAATGTCAAACTAAAAGATACCAGAAGAAATACAGGAAAGACTTTTATATTTTAATTTATATACCTCTGAATGTTTTAATTTCTTCCAAAAGGCATGCATTTCATAATTTAAAAACAAACAAAAAACTCTCATCATGTCCCTTCCATAACTATCTCCTGTCTCCCTGCTTCTCTGCTGAATGTCTAGAAAACAATAATTTATTCTAACAGACACACCGACTAGAACCATTTTTTAAAGAACAAATCAAAATGCCTTTCTTCTTTGAACAGTCTTGGTTGTTACTAGATCACCCTATAAAAATTCAAGAAATCCAAGAAAACATTTTTTCTTGAAATGTTTTCTCCTTTGGTCTTTATAATATATTATACTGATTGGTTTTCTGGTTTTAGGAGACTTCTTCCTTCCCCTTAGATGTAGAGATTCCAAAAGTCTGTCCCTATCCTCTTCCCTCTTAGTACTTTCTTGGTGATCCTTGCCACACCTCTATATCTTCCAAGTATGATTTCTAAATAGATTCTTCCAGTTCACAGTGCTTGCCAAAACTGCTGACCTGATCAAGTATCTGATGAAAAGCTGTAAAGGAATGTCTATTCCTGCCTCACAAACCAACTCTTGCTAAAGCAATGCAATATCTTTATCTTGAAACTACCTCCTCCATCTGTTTCCATTTTCACTTAATGATATCACCATCCTCCCAGTCACTCATAAGAAAACCTCTGTTATCTCAAATTCTGCTTTCCTTATTCCTTTTTAATAAATTTCCAAATGAATCATTCATTTATATATTCACCAGATATTTACTGAAGAACACAGTTTATGGGCCTGATATGTACTGTGGGACTAGGCTGGGCAAAATGGAAAATAAACATTTACAGAGTACTTATTTTATGCTAGGTACTGGGTATATAAACAGGAGAAAGCCCTGGTTCCTGTTCTGAAAGAGATTTTACTGGTGGACACAGATGTGGAAACAGAATTTTTAATACCATATGCTAAATGCAGTAACTCAGGAATATACTGGATGTTATGAGAGTGCAAGGGCAAGGCAACTAACTTTATCTGTGTGAGGGAAGGGTGATTCCTTAAGTATTCAAACTTAACCTTGGGAGATAAGAAAAAAAAATGTAAGAATGGTCTAAGTAAAAGAAAACAGTATGAGCAAATGTACCAACAAATAAAACTTTACCTCATATTTTGGGTAAGTTAAATAGGTATTATTACAGCATCAAATTTTGGGTGTGGGGTAGGGAGGAATGGAGATGAAGCAGGTGAGATAGGGCTGGTCAGATCATGAAAGGTTACATTTTCCATACTGAGGGGCTTGAACGCTATCTTGTGGCCAAGGTGGAGTCACTGAAAGGCTTTCAGGAGAAAAATGACATGATCCAACTTGAATTTATTAAAAATGACTCTGACACCATTTAGAGAATGGGCTGCAGGAAACTGGATGAGTTGGAAGGCTGCTGAAACAACTCTGGTGAGAGACGAAGGTTCGCAATAGAGAAGCAGTAGTAGGAATGGAAAGACATAGTTTAAGAAATATTTAGGATTTAAAGAGGGCAGAACTTGATGTAAAAGGGAGAGAAGCCAAGAATGACTCGCAGAATTTTGGGTTGATAAGCAATGCAGAGGAGGACTGAGGAAGGGTGGGAAAAATTAACTGCAGCTTGAGGTACTTAGGGAACATCTGAGATGTTTCAAGAAAGTAACTTGATCAGCAACTCCATGGCTTTTTGCTATCAGCTGACTG